ATATTCGCTCTGACGCAGGTTCTCAGTGTGAAGAACACAACCCTTTAACCGATTTGGAGGAAATCAGTATTTTGTTTTTAAGTACTTTCATTGGAGCCATAAAGATAGCTTCCCATCTTTATGAGGAAAAGCAGCTTCAAGTCTGGAAATAAAGGATTTCAAAATGTTTTCTTACAATGAATCTAAAAATAATTGGCCCCATCATGAGCAGATGTGAGAAAAAGAACTGAATGCCTTAATATTCCTTTTTTTTTCTGTAAATGTTTTGAAAAGTCTGTAATTCAGGCTTTGAGAAGCTGGCTCCCCAAACATAATGGCATTTTTTTCTTAAAAAGAAGATCCAATGGACCATGACAGCTGGAGACCTGAGAGATGATATCCTATCACAAACAAGAACCAGGTTTCTGACATGCACCACTTATTTTTTTCTGTCTTAAATACATGCATGTTGCCCATCCCCAACCCCAGAGCAGCAAACTATGCTGCTGGAAACCACAAAGCATCTCTACCTATTATGAGAATCCTCCTTTCCCCCCCAGTTGCATCCCCCTCAAGGAGATTCATACCCAGGTGACCCACCTGCACCCTCTGGTTCTGTGGATTGGCAGGATGGGGAAGGGTCACGAGAAAAGACCCCACAGCCAGACTGTCTGGGCTGGGACCTCGTGCACCCATGCTTTGTCTGGCCATGCACGCATCGCTTGGCTTCACATATTCATCTGTAAAATGGGCATGGTGGCAACCTTTTCCATCTCACAGAGCCAGTATGAGGATCAAACGTGGTCCACTCATGGAAAGAGCTTAGAATAGTGCCTGGCGCATAGTAAGGACTCAGTTACACGTCTGCTGTAATTTAGTTTACGTTTCTGTGGACAGTGATTTTAAAAGCTCTCACCGATGACCTGCAGTCGCAGTTCTTATATAAGGAACTGGGTCACCAAGGGGACAGCTGAAGAATATTCAGCTGTAACGAGTTCTTATTAACCTTGGAAGCGTTTTCTGAAGTCCTGGAGGAAGGCAGGGTCTTGATACATTGACCTTTAACGGTCTATCCAGGGACATGTCTTGCTTGTTTGCTTTTAATCCTTCGTGATATAATCCATTCTATGAAGTACGCATCCCAATGTAAGAGCATCCGATGCACGGTTTTTGTTCTCTGTTGAAAGTGTTTTGATTGTGATAGCAAAACTGATACCTCTGTCAAGGCGACATTTGCTGAGACTCATTGCTGGAATTACTGTGATTGGCCGTTAAGGGTGAAGGAATCGGAATCAGGCCATTGATTGGTTTTGGGGAATGAAAGAGAGTTGCTAAGTTTAGCAACACCCTAGCTTGTCATGATGACTATTAGCTTCTCACAGGGAAATATTTAGGTCCTGATTAGCTTATCAACTTGCAGGAAAAAAATAAAGGACTAATACAAGGACCAAAATAATAATCCGCATAAACTGGCATCGCCGTAAGCTTGAGGAAAATCAAGAGGCCATGCCTAGAATGGCTGACAGGTGGCACACAGAAGGCGGACACGGCGGGGCTGCTGGCAGACCCCAGCTAGGCCCTCTCAAAGGGGTGGGCAGACATGTGGGCTACGAGATACTCAGGCAGGGAGTCAGCCAAAAGCTTTTGTTTTTATAATGGGCTGATTCCAGAACCACAGCAGTGGCAATGGCACAGACGTGGGGCATACTGTGCCCGCAGCTCTAAAATTAAAACATAATGCTCGAGGCTGGCAGTTACAGTCCCCTAAATCCACTTTTAATTCCCAAACAAAACACTCCCAAAGGCTTCTGTTCCACCACTGCCTGCTCTCCTGGGTTTAATTGGCAAGATGGATCCACGCCAACCAGTTTAAATGTCACCCTTGGGTTCCTGTGGCCTTTTTCACAGTTTCTGGCTCCCCAGTTCCTTGGGGCATACTGCCCGAAAAAAGGGAGTTCTACTTACTTGGAAATTGTTCTTAGAAATCCCTTTCTATTCAATTACTCGATTTTTTTTCACGTCTACAAACATAAGTCCACTTTCTTTTATGAGGGAAGTCCAAAGATTATTATTCATTTTATTTCTTTTTAATTTGGTGGCTAGAACTTTGCAAGACTCCCCTGTCACCTTCTGAAGGATGCCACCCAACTGCGGGGCTACGAGGAAGAGGTGGGAGGCTGAAAGAGTGGGGACTCGCGAAAGCCACGAGAAATATTTTTCGTTGATTTCAGGCTTTTCCCCCTATGTGATTTTATTTCTCTAAATGTTGTATAAAGGAATATAGGTGAGCATGGATAGCTGATGGCTCTCATCTAGAATGTTTTCTAACAAAGGCGTGTCTGTCACTGAAAGAACCGTTCCAGCAACGGGGAGACATTTATGTGAACCACTGGCATTCACTCGGCCACTACAAAGCTCCTATCAGAGATTCAGATAAAACCTTGTTAATCCAATTAACTAGCCACCCAAATCTAAACTGAAGACCTATGAGAAATAATAATTAATTAATTTTTTAAAATAAACCTAATGGGGAGAGGGTATAGCTCAGTGGTAGCACACATGCTTAGTGTGCACAGGGTCCTAGGTTCGATCCCCAGTACCTCCATTAAAAATACTTTAAAAAATAAATAAATATGTTTTAAAAAAAAATAAACTGAAGATTTCCCTGAGCCAAGCTGATCACAGTCTTTGTGTATTCCACCCGCAGAAATGCTAGGTAGCATTTATTTGGATCAGAGACGTTTCTGTACCACTACAGGTGTACATGGTGAAACAGGAGAGATGGAAAAGAAGATGAAAATATCCCAACATACGGATAAGGATGGAGCTAACAGATGGGGACCATCTTAGTCCTAGAAAGGCATACTAGCAAAGAGAAGGATGTCTGAACCAAATTCAGGGAGGCGGTGTGAAATTATGCCGTCCGTAACTGTTGGATCTTAATGTCACAAAGCAACTCTCTCTTACCCTTGTTCAAGCTTTGAGAAAGGTGAGCAGACAAAGAAAAAAATCTTACACATGGAATCATTTGAGAGGATGACATATTCCTTCCACTGCCACCCTGAAAGAAGCTCTCCAAGGATCTGGATACTGAAGCATTTAAAATTCCACCATGAAGTCCACCTTCAAATTTTACCACTGCCTGCAGCTAAAAAGAGTCCACACCTTTCTGAGAATTGTAACACCAAGGTAAAAACTACTTTATCCACTCCTTCCTGGTAAGTAAAACAAAAAAATTGCTATGATAGGTCCGTGAATGCGGAGAACTTAGGGTGCTGGCTCCTGAATGTGAACGAATGGTCCTTACTAAGACTAGAGGAGGAGGTTCAGACTCAATTCATGGACTTTGCCCGGTTGACGATCCAGCCAAAGGCAAACCCTAGAGAAGATGCCTGTTGCCGTCTCACTGCTTTTGAAGTCCATGATCATCAGACATTAGGGCCTCGGGCATAGGAGATGAAGGGACTCATGCAAAGATAGCTTGCAGATCTAGTTTGGCTCCTTCTTTTTACAGATCTCCTGAAGAAGACCAAGAGATGAAGGATCCACGGACGCACTGCCAGCTTAGTCAAACCCTGGACTCCAGACACCTGTTTTCCGGGCATCGTTTTCCACGAACCCCAATCCCAATTCCCACTACCCGTACACTTTCATGTCAGCTGGGGCGTTGTACGGAGGGATGGTCTAAGAGGGCAAGGAGAGATGGACCCGGCCACGCATCTGGTTGGTTACTGCTGGCAACGTCCATCTGGTAAGCTACATCGGTAGTTACCACTTACTAATGCCGAAGAAGACATTGTTTTATTCTCCCTTATTTCATGGTAAAAGAAAAAGAAAATGCTTTCCCCAGAAGGGCTTCAAACTAGGTTCCTCATATCCCAGAACTAATTGTGGTGTCTTCTGGGGGACATTAGCTCAGGTGTGTCTGTACCCTCTGGTGAGCTCCTGAAGACAGCCCAGCAGTGAGCTGAAGTGGTGTCTTCCTTTCCCTCTAACCATTTTTTAAGATGCTCCTTGGCTATTCTAGCCCAGGTACCTCGCTATTCTTGTCCATACCTGACACCCTGCTGAGTGCTCTGATGCAGCCGTGCCAGTCTAGCTTCTCCAGCTGCGGAAAGCAAAGCAGGTGTTGCCCCAGGGCAGTGGCTGGTCGGTCCCAGATGACCCACACAGTCAATGCTTAGCACATGAGATGGACATATGCAAAGGCTACCAGCAGGAGACAGGATGCCTCTCAGACAGACAGCACGAAGGGATCGTACGGGAACTCAGTGGGGTGCTCGCGTCTCTTCTAGAGAAAGAACAGCACAGAGGAAATGGAGCTCATGTGCCAACACAGAAAGTAAGGCTCACGGGACTGCATGCACCGGTGCTCGCTCACACAGCACTCAAGATGAAGAGTGGCTCTGACCAGATTCCTAACCCCCTCCCCCAACAGGACTCTTCAGACTAATGATGCCAATAGCCATTTAAATCATCCAATCACCTTTCCTTGCTTTGGTTCCCTGCTTCCCAGATAACCATCTGATAAGCAACCTTTCCCCCTAGATTTATGCCCCCAAGGGAATACACTGGGTCAGAGACCTTAATTAGCCCATCAGATTAAGAGCTGCATTTCTCACAAAGCATCAGCATTCTTGTTTATTCATTCATTGCCTTGGGAGTCTAGGTAAGAACCAGCAGAAACCAGAGACTGGTTCTTTGCACACCGGGGCCTGAAAAACTGAAAACCAGATGTAGAAGGCAAAGAATTCATCAACTCTCCACCTGGGAAGAGTGTGTCTTGGCAGTGAGAGGGCTCCCCCAAACCCTGCAGAGGTTACTTCATCGCCACACCCTTTGCACCTGTCACATCTGTCTGCTCAGAAGACCACCTTCTTGATGAAAAGTTTCTGCGTGTACGTGGATGTTATAAAGAACAGCAACTTGAGCATCAGCCCTAAGACAGCGCCCTGAAAGAGGAATGCTCGGAAGCCACCACCAAGTACCATGCACTTAAAATGAAAACAAAAAAACAGTACCTGTCTCCTTAGGTCTCTTGTTTTCTTGGTCATCTTATCAATTGCAATGTTTAGAGGGTCTCCTTTTTCTTTCCTTCCAGTCTATTAAGAAAAGAGAAATAATTTCTGATTTAGGAAATTCAATATTTGTGACATTACAGTTTAAAAAAAAAATTCAGGAACACACTTGAGCTTAGAGTTTTCCAGTACACAGCTAACATCATTCGATCTCTAAAGCTGGTTTTCTCTAAAATAAAAAAAAATAGAAGCTGATAAACATAAATACATTCTCAAGATGGTTACACGTATGTTCGTAGTCAACTCCATGCAAATCTATGTTTTCTTCCCTTCTCCCGATATTTAGGGGTTAAGTAAACACAAGGATGTTTTGTTACCGCCTTCAAACACAAATGTGTGCGCTTGAGATGATAAAAGCAAAATTAAAAAAGAAACTTGAGCTAAATGATCAGAATTCAGAATTTTATACCAATGTTCTATCTCAGGCCTCTGTGTAACTTCTGTATCAAAATCAAAAGAGATGCTTTGTGAGAAAGCATAGTGTTTCTAATCTCTGTTCCGCCGGGCGCTAGAATGCTAAACGTGATAACAATGAACCCACAGCCCGAGGTCATGAGGAATGTTTCCCTTATGATGGTAACAAGCAGAAGCAAAGGCAAAAAATAATAATAACCATCTTCTTTGATAAATTATTCACTTGGAAGTTTGACTAGTTTCTGTTTTCCTTTCTTTTCTATGTTTTCATTGTTGCAGTAACGCAGTTCAAACCAAACCAAACAGAATCTCCATTATCTTTTTAAAACCACAATAGCAACAAGATTCTCATGGATTAAAAAAACTCAGCCGTAACTTTATGGTTGGAATGATCTTCCTTTGAAGAGAAAATTGTTCTCAGCAGGGGAGGGTGGGGCTCAGTGGTAGAGCACGTGCTTAGTGTGCATGAGGTCCTGGGTTCAATCCCCAGCACCTCCATTAAGTAAACAGCTAAATAAACACCTAATTACCTCCCTCCAAATTCTTTTTTAAGTAAAAAAATTTAAGAAAAAAGAAAATTGTTTTCAAAAGTTTTGTCAAACCTATTAAATTATTTAAACTTTAGTCAAACACCCTCCAGGTTTACGTATTCATGGTTCTAGTGGCAGGCTAGTTTCTGTCCCACATTCAGTCTCTGTAAAATCGCGTAGGTCTCTGTAGTAACTCGTGTATATGATGGAGGCAGGTCCCAGGTCACGAGCGGTGCTTAACAGGAGAGCATGTTTTGAGCATCCACAGAAATGGACATCCAACAGGTTTCTCAGTGTTCTGTTCTGTGACAAAATCCTGGCTGCGTGAGGCTTGTACATGCACATGAGGTCTACACAGAGCTAGGTTTAGAGCGCTCGCTCCTTTCCGCAATTTGCTTAATTAATCATTTTTTTCTAAACAAAGGTCTGACGCGTAACCCTGCAGGATTGTCATTAAAAAGCCAAAACCAGGGCATGTGTGTGTATTTTTTCAGCTAAAATCTTACAACTCCCACCATCCTTTTCCACTCCCTAAACTCAAATGCTGCCCCTCTCAGATGTACGCTCTGAAGTCTTCTAAGTACAAAGAGCTTAAAAGAAAGTGACGACCACCTTACCACTGTGACACATCAGCACACCATTAGGTCAAGGAAAGAAAAGCGTACGTAGAAAAGCAACGTGCTGCTCTGTCTTTCGAGGGCAGCTGTCGCGTGGTGAGAGTGACGGCGGCGCCCTGGCGCTCCGCCGTCAGGCGTGACACCAGCTCAGCAGTGGGAGCTGTTTTCCCTCCCCTCGGGTCCTCTCCTTGCACACAGGATGTCTGCCTTCAAAACACGGGCCCTTTTATGGAGTATGGCCCCGCATGGCCATTCCGAGATCCGCAGGCTTCTTTAAGCCCGTTCCATTTATGAAAATAATTACAACTTACTTTGAAAGATGAACAATTGTGAGTTTGGTTTCAAGTGTGGCTGTGAGAGGAGAATGGATCACTGAACTATTCAACGTAAAAAATCCAAGATAACGTGAATGCACAAAATGATTAATACTGAATAAATGCAACGTGTCAGACAGATGGCTTACTGCATCCTGCCGGCAACACATCATTATCACCACTTTACAAATGGGATCCTGAGGAGGAAAGCAGACCTGGGGCCAGGAGGAGGGAAGCCAGGCAGTCGCTGCAGGTATGAAATGTGAGGGATCATCAAAGAACTCAAGAATCAAGGTAAACAACAGTTGAATGCCACAATGCAACAGTTTCAAAAATCAAAATGAATGCCAAAAAAATCCATGGTGGTGGGTGGTGGGTGTACCTCAATGGTTCAGCACACGCTTAGGGTGCACAAGGTCCTGGGTTCAACCCCAGGTAACCCCATTAAAATACATAAATAAATAAACAATCCATGTGGGACTAATATCAGAATTTTAAATAAAGCTAAGATCTGACAGGGCCAGGATTAGGGTGAGGCCAATGAGGTGTTTCATGCAAGTACATGTCAGACAATATTTTTTTAATTTTAAACTTTAAAAAATTAGGGGATGGATTTATACTAAAAAAAGAAAAAAGGAATTGTTTACCTAAAAATCAAACTTAACTGGGTGTCCCGTAATTTTATGTGCCAAATCCAGCAACCTTAGCCCCAGGGGTAATAGTGATGCTCAAGATTGTAAATAGGATGGTTATAGACAATTGCGGGAAGGCTCAGTTGCGTCATTCTGTGAACAGGTGGGCAAATTGGGACCCTGAATCCCGTCCGGCATCAGTAACCTGCAACTATAAAGCGCAGGTCCCTGTGGTGTGAGCATCATGCTGGTCACTGGAGGGGACATGCAAAGAGTGAGTCATGTCCTTCCGCTGAAGGAGCTCCTAACCCAGGGAGTGACCCCAACATGAGACCAATAACCCTCACAACGCTGCAGAGAGACCAGCTCCCTCACGGGGCTGAAGAGGATGCTCAGAAGAGGAAGAAGATGCTGCATTTGGGAATTCAAGTAATCTGACAGGTGGGAGGACTTAGCTGGACCTTAAATCCTGGGTAAAATCTGAACAGGAAAGAGGGAGGGCCAAAGCGGCGTCAAGACGAGAAGCAGCGAGGCGCGTAGTGGGAGGGCAGTGAGCGGAATGAGTCAGCCTTTTCCCCACGATGAGGACAGATCGGCTCGACTGGCTGTAGAGACAAGCTGTTTCCACAAGAGCTTCCTTATAGCTCTTGATTACAGCCAACTAGGGTTTGATCTGCCAGCTCAGAGGATCGCCGATGACATTAGCCTTCCCCGTCCCTGTGTTGTTGGAACTCTCTCTGTATAATATTTGCAGTCCTGGTTTCTCCAGCTTTCAAGTCTTTGGATGAAAGTAATTCAAAACTCTGCAGTTGACTTGGGTGCCATATTTGTTCTCACGGTTCAGAGAGGCTGAAAAGCGGTCAAGCAAGGGCTAGAACTGAGGAAACTGGGGCCACCAGCTGAAGTCGCCCATCTACTAGCCCTTTTATTACACTAATTTCTTTAAATAAGATATGGGTGATATCCAAGATCTTGTAGTAGCTCACGGTGAAAAAGAATATGAAAACGAATATACGTATATTCATGTAGGACTGAAAAACTGCGCTGTACACCAGACATCGACACAACATTGTAAATCGGCTGTAACTCAATTAAAAAAAAAAGATATGGATGCAGGAATAAAGGCAGTAACCCCCCTGATGCTCAGATTTACACAGCAAAGGGGGACTAGCAGGCTGCACTCCATGTTTTCCTGCACTCTGCTATGCCCCCAGCTAGAAATGCTTTTAAATTATCAACCTAAATTGGACAGGAAGCCAATCACTGAGAGAGACACACACAAAAGAAGACCCCTGCCTCCCAGTGTCAGCCCTTCGTTATCGGGTTCTGCGATCTTGGACCAACCATTTGCTCATTTTTCACGTCTGAGTGGTCTCATAAGCACAGTGGACAGTGTAAACTATGCCGTGTGTCCTTCACCAGGTTAGCAGACAATCAATCATGGTGTCAATGTGCTGGAAACAATAAGAGGCATTAACAGTGTTGGAGGTAATTAGGAAAGTATTTCTGCTGTGGGAAAATAAATGAAAGTGTTGCTTTGGAAAACTACACAGAAACTATTTTTAATCACCTGGACCTCTCCTTTGTCCACCCCCGGCGGATAATATACGAAAACTCTGCCAAAAACCAGAATTCCTAGAGGAAGAGTTATTTCTGTTTAAGGAAGGAATATTTGGGGCAGTTCATTTCCAATAACTAGTCTGCGATATTTCAAAGAGATGAAAGAAGGTTCAGAGACTCCAGATGAACGCCTTTCACACAGTAGGCTCTTGGATAAACGTGTTAACTAACTAAAGATTTGATCATCGTGAGCCAATTCTAGTTCCCATGGAATCGATCAGAAGCCTCACCCACCTCGCCCTCCCCGACCCTCCAAGCTCTGTAAACTAAAACTAGTTTAACTTGAGTGAAAGGAGATCTAGGTCTTCCTTTTGACAGCATCACCTAGTAATTAAACAAAAGTGTGTGGTCTTCAGCCAGTCATCCACTTACTCCCTGCCTTTGCTGAACAGAAGGAAACAAAAAGTATTTGTAAGCACCCTCTGCCAGTAACTACCTAACTCTTCCGGCAGTTTCTCTCCACTCCAGACTGACTTATCATCTGTCCAAGGGAGGAGCCAGAGATGGGTGAGAGAGCCCAGGAAATGGGGCAGCAAAAAACCCTTCAAGAACGTGTAACCATGACCAAAGGAGACAGGACAGCGGAGGGACAGACTGGGAGTTTAGGGCTAACAGACACACACTACTATATACAAAACAGACAGACAACAAGGACCTGCTGTACAGCACAGGGGACTATATTCAATGTCTTGTTATAACCTATAATGCAAAGGAATCTGAAAATCTATCTATCTATATGTATGTATAAGTATATATGAATCGCTCTGCTGTACACCTGCAACTAACATTGTAAATCAACTACACTTTGATAAAAAAAAAACTAAAAATACAATAAAGAATCAAAAGTGAAAAAAGAAGAGTTGGAATTGGCTGTCAGGAAGAGTTTTCTCATCTCTCAAATGTGGAGAAAAGCTTGCTTTGTGGGATGACTGTGGACATTAAAAGAGATAAGATCTGGAACGCATGACTCGATGCCCGACCCGCCGAGGGGACTCAATCAATTTCCTCTCCTTCCTCCCGCCTCACTCCCCTCAGAGACGAGAAGGGCAAGGTCCAGAGGGATGCCATCACTGATTCTGGTCACGTGGCTAACTTGTATCTGACCACGGCCCCTGGACCCCCAGCCCAAGACCCTGTTCATTCCATGTCTAAACTGTCTCCCATCTCGGAAGTTCTAGGATTCATTGATTTTATAGCATTTCTTTTCAAGGGCTATCAATAAAACAAAAAAAAATCTCCGTTGGCGGTGTACCCGCTCCATCACACGTTGTCTGCGGACCCTGCATGCCTTTCTCGGCTGGCTCCCCACTTGCCTTCTTTATCTCTACCTGCAGCGAACGAGATAGCCATTTAATGAATGCCGTTATTTAAAAAAAAAATGCTAGGCGGGGGAGCAAGCTCTCAAAATCGCTTCAGGCGGCCTTCCTAGTTGCCATCTGTTGTGCTAGGGAGGTGCGTGTTTATGAAACTTTATTTGTTTTAGTCTTTGGGATTTATTTTACAAAACACATGTGGGGTGGATCTGCAGCTTGAACTGAGGAGAGGGAAGGGAAGGGAATGAACTTCCTGATTTGGCTCTTTACAGGGGAGCCTTCGTCCTCCCATCCTCTGGCTCTAAATTCAAGGCCAGTCTGCCGAAGTATCAGATGCTGTCAAGGAGACTTTCATTGTTTCAGTTTAATCCTACACAACAACGACTGGGGCCGGTAAATGAAGCTTTGATTTTTCACAATCACTCTTCAGGAAAAAGACATATTTTAGTTCTTCTTTTTTTTTTTAATACTACCCTTTGTCCTTTAGGGAAATAAAAATCCCCTCTACTTACCCAAAGAGGGCATTCCTTGTCCTTCTTTCTCTCTCTCTCTCTTTTTTTTTTACCACCAAATATCCATCACCCCTTCTAAAATACTGAAGAGGCATGTGACACACTTATATTATATGCTGAATATTTCACACCCCCGGAAGTTATAAAACAAAAAAGCAAGGAAGAGTAATTTTGGAATTTATGAAGTTGACTGAATATTTGTTCAAAGGCCCTTCCTCACTGCAGCCCCTCATCCCACCCTAAACACAGAAGGAGGTCACTCACGGGGGCTCCGAGAACCTACATCTCAGGGCGTCCATCAGACGCGTGGTCTCAGGTTCGTTTCAGGGCACAGTCTCAGGGTGCGGGAAACGGCTGTGCGAAGGCCAGTGTCTGTCTGCTCTTTTCCTTTCCCTCAACCATACCTGCACACTGGACTGAATGGGTGAGAAATCTTCAAAATACTGTACAGCAGGGACACTAACATATTGAATGTAGGGGGAGCTCATCAAATGCCCGGTCCTCAAATTGTTGTCATTTGAAAGAGATGGAAGTCAAAATCATCGGAACGGCAGAGAGCAATCAAGTGACATGCACTCTATTTCCAACACATTCTCCTGTCATTTAAACCTATGATTTAGACCACAGGAGGGAGGAGAAGAAAATTATCTATTAATCTGGCAGTCACCCTACCATATTTGGAGGGTGGCCCATCTACCCTCAAGCACTGCATACAGGAACCATATTCTTATGACAAACAGCACCATTATTTAGAGAATCTTGAACACTCCAGAATGCCTTTATATTACGTGTATATCACACTCTTGAGAATGTGAGCTTTTCTAAATATTTCCTTTTTGCTCACTAGGGACATTTCTCTTAGAGAAGAAATGGGCAATGTCTCTTTAGAATGGATGAACGTTTAGCACTGGCCACAATCAAACCCACGACCAGGACACTCTGACCACGTAAACGCCCAGCTTCCCTGGACTCCGCGATGGCGCCGGGAGGATGAAGGCAGAAGGGGAGCAACGGATGGTAAACTGTTAGGGCAAAAAGGTATCTGACCCTTCTCGGCCAGACCTCACCAACGCTCAAGGAGAAAGCCATCAATAGGAAAGGTAAGAGCATCAGAGTGGCCTTACCTTGAAACCCCCAGACCCCACCTCCCAGCACAGCAATGCTCGCCTGCACATCCAGCAATGCAGGAAGAAGGCCGGACTCAGGGAGGTCAGGGCACATCACTGTGTGTTTTCATGCTCCCAACAACCCGTCCATGTTCTTTTGGTAAATCCTCTAATTGTTCCTTCTGACTCTCAACCAAGGAATCCTGGCCGAGGGGATGAACTCATGATAACAGACAAACCAGTGAGATTCAGCTGTAAGGGTGTATGCGGAATTCTCGTGAAGGAGGCACGTCTTTTCCCCACTAGGACTGATAAACTGGGAGCAGATACACTTTGAGTTACTAAGGGAGTCTTTGCAAATAGATGTCACAGAAAGAAGGTTTAGCTGGGAGGCTGGGGAGGCGGGTGGTGGGGGGAGAGAGAGAGAGATTGAAAATTAATTTAGGGGCAGGAAAGAGATGAGGATCTAAGGAAAGAAGACAGAAGGAAAGGGAAAGGAAGGGAAGAGAAGGGGAGGGAAGTCGCTTTTGGAATCAAACCAAAATAGTTCATAATTTCCATCATATACTAAACCTGGATTCAGTTCCATGAGGGTACCATGTTTGTTTCACTTACCATTATACCCTGGCAGCTTGGACTTTGCCTGGCACATAATGGGCACTCAGTACATTTTATTATGCCAATGAGTGAGACACATTGGTTCCTGAATCCACCTCTGCCTAAATCCATTGGTATCTATCAATGGATTTCCCAGTGTCACGAGTTAACAAATTCTCTCACGTTTATTGATGTTGGATTTCTGTCACTTACAACCAAAAACGTCTGACGAAATTAGAGACCTTAAACTACCAGACCAAAATGAGTCGAAGGCAGCACGGCAAAGAGGGAGGACCCAGCACGACAGACAGAGCACAGAGCACTCCGGGGGCTCAGGCCTTTGTTTCCCCCACAGGGCCGTCCCAGCGCTAATCACTGCCCGAGCTCTAAGGCCTATATCCCATATTTCTCCCCCGAATCCAATTATTCACTAAAGTTGAGACTCTGTCTGTCAAGATGTCTCGGGATTCCTGCTTTTTCTCAAATCCCTCTGCCCGTGACACCCGGCCACCCCAGCGCAGACCTCCAGCATCGCACCACTGCTCCCGAAAAGCTCACCTCTGTACCCCGAGAGCCAAAGTGAGGCTGGGAGGCAGGGTTTTGGGGAAATTAGAAAAGAACAGCTTTACTGCTTTGCCCGGCAAAGGGGAGTCACAGCGGGCTCATGACTCAGAGACTGTGAATCCCCCTTGGGGTTGGTGTCCTGAGGTTTTATAGAAAAAGCGAACGGAACAGAAAGGCGACAACAATCAGGGCATTTTCCTTTCTGGAAATCTTGCTGAATCCGCCTGCTGTCAAGGAGAAGCTCCAGAGGGTCTGTTCATTCTTCTGAGGCTGTCAGCCCGTGACCGCCTTCGTGGAGCACAGCTCCAGGGTTAAGGGCTAAGCTCTTCTGGGTGAAGAATGTCTAGCGTGTGGGGAGGGTCATGGAAAGATTGGGGGCTGTTTAGCGCAAAAGCAGTTGAGCAAGTGAAGCAGAGGTGGGGGTTTGTCAGAGAAAAGGGGAAAACAAAGTGCAAGAATTTTAAGTCAGAATGAATCAGCAAACAGCTTCAGCATCAGGGAAGCCATTTAGTTAGTTTCCTGCTCTTCCGCCATCCTTTGTTGATCTCCCTCTCTCATCCTCCTTCCCCGTGGACTGCCAAGACCACACGTCTACTTCCTTGGCTCAACACTCACCAGTTCCCATTTAGTTCTTACTGCATCCCGACTTCCGACGACACTCTGGAGCCGGTATTTTAAGACCTCATGAGTGGATCTCCCTCTTGTACCTGCCCACGTGTCTAATCAGCCTGTTCCTTCTCAAGGACCCGCACACCTCCTGCCTCGTGCTGGTGCCTGGCTGAAAGGGTCATCCTCCCTTCAACCATGTGCCTAACCAGGTTCTACCCCTTCAAGGAGCAACTCAAAAATCTCCCTCCAAGGAGTGTTTCTAGACTGATCAAGCCCTCGAAGACCTTCTCCTCTGACCTCATTGAGATCCTCTGATTAGGTCCTGTGCCAAATAAATAATGCAGATGTTAACAACAGACCATCCTGCATTATTCACCACGTTTTCACGTTGCTGCAGAGTAGAACCCACGTTTTTGTGGGTGGCAAATGCTATGATTTCCTCCTGGTGGACTTAGCATGAAATTCCTAGGAAGCGCTCCAGAAATACCTGTTGATGGATAGAAGAACCGGCAGTCCACGTAGGCACCTGGGGACAGGAGGGAGGCATGAAGGGGATAAATGATTTGGAAAATGTGAGGTCCTAAAAATAAATTTCACCTACTTCACAGTTTGCTGATCAAAGCCATAGGAAGCGGTTGGCACCTGTGTGATGTTACAATTCTTGCTCCTTGATTTACTTTATCAACACAGGTGTAGTTCGCAGTGATTATCTGTCAGGCAACCCTGCCTGGAAGACAGCTTTCATCAGAGCTCCCCTTCCCCAGCTCCCAAGCTTGGGTGATTGCTGGGAGCCAGGGTTAATTAACCACACATTGCTTTGAAGCCTGTGAGGGACCATGAACTGAGCAAACTGCTAAAAATGCCATTTTATCTTTACAGTTGAGATGAAAGTAGTCAAGGCCAAGTGCAAATTTCCATTGATTTTATACGCACACAGAAACACATACATACCCACACTGCAAAGACGATTTAAATTTCAGTGAAATTTAAACTTCCATTTCATTTTAAAGTGCATATTCCCCAAACCACTCAGTTACAGTTAAAGGTATCAACATTTAAAGGATCCCCAGGGTCTGCATTTTCCACCATCTCATAAAGAGGTCAGTAACTGGGTCTACGTTGCTAAGAGTTCACCGAAATCCGAAAACACTCAGGCAGAGGCTTACTTCAGTTCATGGGAAGTCTACCTGGGTGGGGACCCCGAGCCTTGGCCTTCCTGTGCCCCATCTGCCCTTAGACCAGGGGCCAGTTCATCTTGTGATTCCTTCATCCCAGCTTCCTGCCCTCCTGGTTCACAGCAACCCATCCTCCCCGAGTACCCGCAGCCTCTGAATCATGCATTTGGTTGCCTGTTTGCATTCAGGCCACAGTTAGGTGTTGTGCAAGTCTCTTGCTTTGCTAACTGAATTTCAGATGTCACGCTCTCAAGCTAAAAACACAGATGTACAGGATGCACGATTACAACCCTATACTGTTCGGAAATTTGTTGTGATTCTATGCCCCTTCTTCCCGCTTAGAAGTACAGAAGCTTAAGGACAGTGTCTTGGTCAGCTCGGGCTGACATAATCCAATACTGCAGACTGGGTGGCTTAGACAAAATGAATTTAGTTTCTTGCCATTCTTGGCCAGACGGCCAAGGTCAAGGTCCAGTGGGGCTGCTTTCTGGCCAGAGCTCTCCCCCTGGCTCACAGATACGGTGGAGGGAGAGAGCAAGCAAGCCCCCGAGTGTCCCTCCCCGAAGGGCACTGATCGCCTTGTGAGGGCCCCACTCTCATCACTTCCTAACCCTAAGTCCCTGCAAAGGGCCCGTCTCCAGAAGCCATCCCACCGGGGGTGAGGGCTTTGACAGGCGGACTCTGAGGGACCCAGCAGTCCACAGCAGGTGGGAGGGCGTCAGCCAGTTGCACTGCCTTGAAGCTGAAGCTTCTAGCACAGTTCCCTGCACGGACTAGGTACCACGCAAGTTAGAAATATGCAACGAGACGTACGTACGGATATGTATGGAATGAAAATAAACACAGTAATTTCTGGCTGTTTGACACAGTTCCATGCTGTGGATCTTTGGGGACAAGGATGCTGTGTGCAGCGGTGAAGGGGAGCCGCAGCCTCGGCAGCGGTGGAGTCAAAGCGTTGCACGCTCTCCTTCTACACTCATTCAGCATCTCAGCTGAGCAAGAAGATGCAAATCACAGCCTTCGACCGCACGCAGAGGAGTAACACGGACACACACTTGGGAGGAGAAACACAGAAACAGGACACCACTTTCACCAAATTTTTCCTTCAACACAGTGGGAGGTGGGGTTAGATAAGCTGGAGGACACTGGAGACCAGAAAGGACTGGGTCTGGTGAAACGGCAGAGCCCTGACTGGGACCAGGAGGTCACCCCAGGGAGCACCTGCGACCCTTCTGTTTGCCGACCTGACAGCAGAAGGAAATGAAGCCGCTTCCTCGGCGTCACTGGGAAGAGGTCCAGGGGACCCTGAAGAGATCTCCCCGCCCTCTTCAGAACCTAGACTTTTTTTTTCCTGCCCAAATCAAATCTGGCCTCTCTTGGTCCTTGCAAAGCCTCCAAGGACCGCCTCCGCCCATCTTCTCAGCACCACCCCCACCCAGTCTACACCACGACCCTTTCTCCCTCTCATGCTCCTCCGCCGAAGGCCAGCGCTGTCTGGAAAGCAACCCCTCACGGGTGTTGGGCCGGGGGCGTGGGTGGGAAAAGAACTCACCAAAGACAAAGAGAAGTTTAAGAGACGCGCCACTACAGGCAACAGCGGGCCACACTGACCAGAGGCGCCTGCGTGAGCAGCGAGGGTGAGCATCCTTATGGGGAAGGGGCAGGCGGACACCGGGGGCCGTGTGACCAGCTCGTGCCCAAGTTCTGACTGGCCGTAGGCATCACCAAGGGAGCCCACGACCACTTCATGAGGCA